GACTACCATCGAGTCAACTGGGTTCAGTTTCGACGCGTGGTCGACCGCCACATCGACGACAACCCACCGCTCGACACAGTGGATGACATCGACCGGGCCCTGGAGGGTCTCCATCAAGCCATATCCGTGGCTGACGAAGAGTGCGTTCGACGAGTTCCTGTGAGGGGTAAGTTTCAAGCAATTGATTCCCACACCAAACTCTTGATTCGGCTCAGAAATGTTCGTAGACGCCAGTTTCAGCGGACTGGGGATCTGCAGCGTAAATACGAAATGGTCGATCTGAATCGGCAGATCGCTTCCAGAATGGTCTCAATCCGGAACGAGAGTTTCGGGCGGCTCGTTCAGAACCTGGACGACCGTTCCAGACCATTCTGGAAGGTTGCCAAGGTGCTGAAGTCTCACCCCAAGCCCATTCCACCACTTAGAGTCAATGACGAACGGCTTATCACCAACGAAGAGAAGGCCAATGCGATTGGGGAGCACATTGCCCAGTCGCATTTGCTTGGCTCTAAAATCCCAAGTCCACTCGAGAACCAGGTTGCGCAGTGCGTCCTGACGTTAGATGCCTCCCCTTGTGCCGTCCCTCCAGAAGAACGGATTACAGAGGAACAAATTTGCTCAGCGCTGAAATACAGTAAGAACATGAAGGCTCCCGGGTTTGACGGAATATTCAACCTAGCGTTGAAAAATCTCAGCCCGAGGGTGTACTCGCTGCTAGCTGCCACCTTCAACAGATGCTTGGAGCTGCACTACTTTCCAAGCATCTGGAAGGTGGCAAAAATCATCCCGATCCGCAAACCTGGGAAAGACCCTTCACTACCGTCAAGCTACAGACCGATTAGCCTGCTCTCAGCGCTGAGCAAGCTGTTCGAAAAATTGATCCTCAGCCGACTAAACAAGTTTGTGGAGGAACATGACATTCTTCTTCCGGAACAGTTCGGGTTCCGCAAGGGGCATTCCACCAATCATCAGCTAGTGCGGGTGATGAATAACATCCGAAGTAACAAAGCTGTATCCAAGTCCACAGCCATGGCCTTGTTAGACGTCGAAAAGGCGTTTGACAATGTCTGGCACGACGGACTTATATACAAGCTTTGTAACTCTAACTTTCCACCATACCTTGTGAAAATCACCCGTAACTATCTCCAGCAAAGGTCGTTCAGGGTGTCGTTGAATAGTTCCCTTTCGGGACAATTTCCGATCCCAGCAGGTGTTCCGCAAGGGAGTCTGCTGGGACCACTGCTTTACAGCATCTACACGTCGGACATCCCTCCTCTAGGAGACGGTTGCGTGTTCTTTCTGTTTGCAGATGACACCGCGATAGCCGTCAAGGGTAGGATGCCTCGTGAAATTACGAACAAGCTCCAACGATGCCTTGACACCTTTACTGATTATGCCACCACGTGGAAAATCAAAATCAACGCCTCGAAAACCCAAGCAATCATGTTCCTTCACAGACAATCGCCAAAACTTAAACCGTCTCCCTCCTGTACCGTAATAATGGATGGTACAAGGGTCGAGTGGTCCACTGATGTTACTTATCTCGGGATGTTGTTCGATGAGAAGCTCCTGTTCCGCTCGCACATAGAGAAAACCCTAGTTAAGTGCTCCGCCTTGGTTAGGTGTTTGTATCCGCTCATTTGCCGCAGATCCCGCCTCTCAAGGCAAAACAAACTGGCTGTCTACAAACAGATCATAGCCCCCGCGATCTTCTATGCCGCCCCGGTGTGGGAATCGTGCGCTCAGACCCACAGGAACAAAATCCAGGTTGCACAGAATAGAGTGTTGAGGATGATCCTAGATCGTCCATTCGACACAAGAATAGCAGACCTCCATCAAGAGGCAGAAATTCCCAAAGTAGATTCCAAAATTGATGATATGACAACTAAATTTATTCAAAAATGCAATCTTTCTGAACATGCTTTAATAAGCAATTTGTACATAGTAGGTTAAGTGTATATAGTAGAGTAGGTTACTTTTAAGCTGTAAATAGTAGTTTTAAGTAGTTTCTCTTCTCTTCTCTTCTGCTTTTGCTCATTGTCGCTTCGGACGGCGTGGCGCTTGGTCCTGCAGTAAGCAGGACCAAATCAGCGACTTAAGGTGGATCACGGCGTGACCACAATAATGATGAAACCCCCTCCCCCTTTCACAACAACCTCTCCCCCTCCCCCTTCACAACAATCTCTCCCTCTCCCCCCTTCACAACAATCTCTTCCCCTCCCCCCTTCACAACAATCTCTCCCCTCCCTCAACGACCTCTCCTAACCCCCCACCACCACTCATCAACAACCTTTCCTAACCCCTCCCCCACTCATCAACAACCTTTCCTAACCAACCCCCTCCCCACCCCTCAACAACCTTTCCTAACCCCCCCCCCCACCCCTCAAATACCGCTCCTAACAAAACAATATCTATGTGTCAGCCACATAGGGGAAATGACGCCTTCGGCTTGCAAGACTATTTTCGGCAACCCAAATTGAAACACTATTTTCACTGGATTTTCTTACGAAAACACTTCGCTGAATGCATGCAAACGATTCTTTATGCTTTCAGCTTCAATTTGACTATATTTTTACCACTGGGAAAAAGCAATCTAGCAAGGTTTTCTTGAAATGAAACACACACACTACAAATTGTAGCTGATTTCGAGTTGCCGATAATAGAACAGCAGATTTACATGCAGTTCAAATGGAACGGTTGCCGAAGAAAAACTGGTTGCCGACAATACTCGCTCTCACTAGAGAAGATTGGAGCTTTTTAAAAGCGTTTCAAAACAGTTTTTGACAATTCTTTCGACTGAAATTGTTAGAGCAGCTGGCAGCAAAAGATTGTAAACAAACCAATACTGCATATGTGTGCGTTCCTCAGAGAAAAAGGCTATAGAAAGAAGGTCGCTGCTTAGGTTGCCGAGAATACGTAAATTCCCCTACTTAAAATATGTACATTTAAAAACCATGCGTGACCACTAGACTGATGCAAAATTTGAAATTTTCGCTCCACAGTGCTCAAATGGTTCCAAATTGGGCCCTGATAAGCCTCCCAAAATTTGAACTCATTTAGTGAGAAACTGACTTGGCACAAACCATTTGAAGTTTATATGGGAATTACTATGGAGAAACCATAATTTCAGTTTATATCTATCTCAAAATTCACCAGTTCACTCTACTTTAGAAAATGATAGCTGAACTTGTTGAAAACCACTTTTCGATCAAACGTAAGGAACAAAAATTATTAATGATTCAAGTCCCTGATGTCTTATGATTATGCTCAATCAACTGTTCAGCAGGCAACATTGGTGTTTATGGCGCGCGTCACACTGCAGAATACAGTGTTGCCCACAATACAGTTGCTTAATCTTGCCATAAGATTATCAATCTCTTAAAAAATTAATAACTATTTAATTTGACGTTTGGATGAAAAATGATCTTCTGCAAAGTTGTAGCTGATAAAAATTCCCATAAGAATAGCAATATAATGTGTTAACAGTACAATGTGTAAAAAGGCAAGAAGACAATGAACAAAAAGTTTTGTTTTCCCATAGTAATTTCCATGTAAACTTCAAATGGTTTGTGCCAAGTCAGTTTCTTATAAAATGAGTTTTCTCGTTTGGAGGCTAATCAGGACCCGATTTGGCACCGTTTGAGCACTGTGGAGCGAAAATTTCAAATTTTGCATCAGTCTAGTGACCACACATACTATTCATTTGCGTGTAAATTTCATGTGTACTTCTGAGTGGATTCTGTTTATGTGTGGTCAAATGAAAATCATGTGGAATTTCACATGGATATTTGTAAAGAAAATGTGTAAATTGTTTTGAATCAACCATAACCGAAACATTGAAATACTTGAAAATTTTAAGATAAAGTATAATAGTCAAAAATGCATGAAAAACAACAATTTTGTGTGGTTCTACGTCATACTGCGGTCGTGTCTAGGACACAACCCTTTACTTTTTATCTTACTGTTCAAATGCCTTGTAAAGTTCCACAATACGCTTAATAAATACTGGAATATTTACGCTTGGAATGTTTACCTGAAAAATATGTGCAACGTCCGCAAACTTGGATCGCTTCGAATTTGTTTTTTTTTTTATTAATTTAAAAGCATTTAAGTTTTAGAAAATTTTACACAAATGTATTCTCATGATTTACTAAAATGCGTAGCACGATTTAATGTATTATTATTATTAATTAAATGTATCCCCAAAAAGCAATTATTTGATTCAGTGAACAAGAATCCCTTTGAAAAGTATCCGAATTTTCATCAAAAAAGCAATCAATCTATTTCCTAGCCATATCCCATGGAATATGTATGCTCAAATTTTCAATCTTTTCTTAAACTTTATTGTATTTTTTTCAAATCGTAGTCGGAGTTGATGTGTCCGTTATTTTTAAATCAGAGGAGTCGGAGTCAGTCGATTTTTATGTGACTCCACAGCCTTGTAAATAAGACTTATACTAATAACAAATAAGTATACTTTGACTATATGTTTAGCATTACTTCTGCGTGTAGTCAACGATTTACATAGTTGAAGATACTAATTTCAAATAACAGACTGAAGTGGTAATTTTTATACGATAGAGTGAGGAGATGAAAGTAAAAAATTGATAGTACCGTTTAGAGTACGGCAGTGTGAAAATTGCACATAGAGGAGTACTCGGATTTATCAATTCTATACTTTCATTTCCTAACTCTATCGCATAAAATTACCACTTCAGTCTGTTATTTGAAATTAGCACCTTCAAATAAGTATAGTTTTGGGTTTAAATGCTTGAATCTATGCAATGTTTGAGAAATTTTAGAAAATCACTCACTTTCACAACGGTTGAACAACTTACGTAAATCAACATCTAACAATTCTCAACAACCTTCTAAAGATGTGTACTCGCTTGCTCAAAGATGTTTCTCCATTCAGTATGTCACGCAAAATCCTGGGTAAATATAACTCATCATGTTTATGGCGTGAAAGTACCTGAAATTTAACAATCAATTTCACTTACCAAAAGTATTGTCCTCGAATCCATTCGGCGTAATGATTTGTGTATCTTCTGTTGAACGAAATAAAACATTGTCTATCAGTTCAATTCGCATGCCATCAATGTTCAACCTACCCGGACAAGTGACACAATCGGGTGTTTTCTGTTGATTCGGTCCAACACAGGGTGCCCCTCCGTACAGCGGGATCGGATCGCTGCATGTTCTCGATCGCTTCCTGCCCTGGGCAGGCTTCCCAGGGCAGCGACATTCCAACCAGGCACTCCACTGACTCCAGCCACCGTTTACTGTGAAGGATAGAAACAGAACATCTTGCGTTACTAACTGTTGATTAAATTGAGCTCGCAATTGAATTATCGAAACCAAGAATTACTCAACAACCCCAGTCATTGACAAAGAGTACTAGGCCAGTGAGACAGCCGAACCAATCAATCATCATTCAATGCCATCATTGGCAACGAGCCAATATGGCACGTTGGACCCGTCAGATGCAGATAATTAGAAGGTGTAAATCGCACACCCTCGCCTGATTCGCTCTATGCAATCTTCTTCGATCAAAAGGTTCAACCAAAACAACCGCTTTTAATGACAGTCACCGGCGACCGTGCGGCGGTGGTATCACATTCGGGAGGGTGTCTCGCAAAGCTCTATCCGGGTTTCTTTTTTTTGCTGCCATTGCGAGTGATTGCCTAATAAAATCGCATAGCACCAAATTAACATCCTCAGCAATGATCCGACAGCAGCGGCGGCGGCTTGTTTGGCACAGCCAACGATTCAGTATTACCTAGTTTGGCTTGATGACTCTTTACACGGCTGCCTGATCCACGAGAAAGGGGGTGTTATTTCGGTTTGTGTGTAATTTTCGGGACCCCGAGGGGGTTTTCGATTCGTTTCGCTCGTTCGCTGATGTTTGCTGGCTTGATTCAAGTGCACGATGAGTTGATGCAGACCGTGGAGATTGGCTGTGGTGCATACATAAAGTCACTGGGCTTGAACAAGGTCTGATGATTTGGACAGGGGGGTGCCGATAATTGAATTAATCGTACGGTAATCCGGTGCGCCTTGTTTAGGTGGTAATGCGATGACGACGGCGACCACGGGGTGCTATTAGAAATTTAGGTTAATGCTCAATTGTGTTTGGTAAAATTAGTCAGATCGGAACGAAGGTTTTAGATTCATATGGTGCAAAAGGATCTGGAGGAGACCTTTAAGGTTTCTTGAGTTAATCTATTAACTCATATGACTCTCGAAGCTTGCCTATGGTGCAATTTTGAAACCCAGCAACTACAAAAACCCATTTGCTTTGTCCAGATGACGCATTGTTTAACGAAAAATTTAAGAACAGAAGATTTTTATCATGGACCCAATCCGGGACAACATTAGAGCTATTTCCTCTAAATCGAGCCTAATCGGGCAGGAGTTTCCACTCAGCATCAAATAATGGCTCCCATCGTTCACGTTTGCAAAGCTTCCTAGATGCGAAGGTTTCTACCTGATCCCCAACGGTTGCAAAAGCAAACAATCCTAATTTTTCAAACCAGCAAAGGACTCCACTATACACCGATCCCAGACGGTGCGTAAATAAACTCATTTGAATAATCTTTCATCAACTGTCTAAACATTCCGGCAAACAAATTATTTACACTTACTTCGGCAAGACTTCAGCTTCGCACGGACGGGAGAGGAAAAGCCTGTGGCACTTGTAATCCGACGTGCCATTGCAGGGAAAGTGACAACAATCCCGAACTCCGACTGAGAGCAAAGCTTCTTAGCAACAACTACCGACGCCGATGACGACGACGACGACGACGACGCGTCTGGGAAAGAAACCCGAAAGCCAAATCGAACTTGAATCTGAAACTTTTGCCAAACAAACTGGAGGCAGCGGCGGCAGCAAGTTGTGACACTTTGTGAAAATTTGCATTTTTCCGGTCTGGCTCCTACCGGCTCTTGTGTCACACAACAGGCAGGATCGAATCGGATCAGAGCGAAAGAGCCTAGGAGACCATTCTGCGTCACATCAATATTCAGCGCCCGTAATGTAATCCCAGCTGTTAGTACACAAACTTGCAACACTTGAGAGCACGACGGACGGTGGGTTGATTCTTCTGTGGAACTTTGTCTTTGAATGGTTGAAAGTTTTGCTGGCCGAGGGTGGATGAAATTTTGCCCGTTTGAAGGATAGCTTGAGCCCAGAGGCTTCACACGTTTTAGTCGTCATCTTTTGAGTGATTTTCAGAGATTGCTAAGCGGAAGAACAAGTCCTGAACGCTCATTAGCAAATCTATGGCCTATCTGGTGGAAAGGGATACAACGAAAGTGATTAACTGAAGTGAGTGAGACCAACGTGTAATGCATAAATTAAAACGAAAATCTTTCAATTGGTTCTCTGCATGCTTCGTTTCCCCAGTAATCATTTACATTCAAATTAACATTTCCATTCAATGATTTACTGTTATTGTTTTCCGAAAAATAAAACATACTTTCCATCGGTTCCCGCAGTTGCCCCGAAGAAGAACTAAGGTGTGAAACGGATTTCGAAATCAATTTCCATTCGGAGAGCCCTGAGGATACTACCAATTACCAGTCACCATGTGTAAATTTGCATCATTGCACTTCGGGAACTGAGCTTATCCCGACGGATGGGATGCTGCAAATTGTGATCCAAGCGTAGCGCTTATATTAAAAATAAAATGTTCCCTCACTATCTAGGCACCAACTCTCGTTCAGGATGTAAACTGCATCGATCAGTCCATTTCGCAAGCATGCAATTGAAACCAGATACCAATCAATGTTGAAAGCAGCGAGAATATCGACAGAAAGTGCCTGTACAGAATAGCTGCACAAGAGCTAAGTTGCAGTCGATGGTGATGCAAAATAGCTTCCAGGCAGAATGTCTCGCATTTCGTCATTCATGACCGACCGGTGCCGTACAATGGTGAAGTCAATTCAGCATCAGAGTAAAAGCGAAGATCATCCATTTGGCCCATTGTTACCGAGCAGCTTATTGGTCAGGGAGGGGGGCTGTTGGTCGTTGAGTTGGTGTTTCCCTTCTGGGGGAAAGTTGCATGTAACCGATTGTTATTCGGTGCCATAATGACAGCTGAGGGAGCGTTATTTTCTCATATCGATTGCTGCCTTCTCCGTCACCGAACACCGAATCGCCATGGGGTGTTCAAGTTGGTACATAAATAGGTGTGCCACCAGATGATGACCGGTGCCAACTGCCACCGATAGAACGGGTACTGCAATTGTGCTTCAAAATAGCCTTACGTAGCATGCAACAACAGGGCGTCCCAAAAAATAAATTTCAAACAGTTTACTTGTTTTCTGTTAGTGATGTAGATTAGGTTTTAAGGAACAATTGCCTCATACATGATGATTATTTAAAAAAATAGAGGATGCATGGTTAAATTTTCTGAAAAAAAGGTTTTTTTTCCAACAGAGTGTTCAAAAGCTGTTAAGCTATCCAATGAACATTTAGAATTACGATCTTGCTTGGATGGACGAATTTTTGATTGCTTGAATTAGCAAATTATGATTAAAAATTGAACTCAGGGTCACATGGACCAAACTTTCTAATTTTGTGAAAGCACTATTCTGAATATAAAATTTTCGATTATGCTGATGGAAAGAAAGAGAGGAGGCAATCAAGCCTGCTTGTTAATAATCCAACTAATAATGCGCCAAAGCCCTGTATTAGTCAATCAGCGGGCTTATTGGTTTTTCCCAAGTAACAATTTAGGTTTTATGAGGGTACTGTAGACCATGATTGCATGACTTGCTATGTTAATTGGGCTGGGATGTGCAATACGTGCCTGTGAACGATTTCTGGTTCTGATTGTTCTGGTTTTCTCATGTAAGCCAACAAGGGTTTTATTTTTTATATGGAATCCACTTTATACAGTTACGTAAAAGCCTTTAAATAAATTGTGACAAACATACTTTTGCATATTTCAATTAAAATTGATAAACGCTTCTAATTATAACACCAAAATTATCGATAAAACTCCAATGAAAATTCTTTAAAAAAATGTGAATGTTCCATAAAATTTTCACTATGATCCATATTTTATGTAAAATTTAGCAACATGATCGTAAAAATGTACCGCTTAATGAACAAAATTAGCATTGACATTGTACGAACATACATATTAAACATATTGCGAATTATTCATATAAAGTTCAACAATGAACCGTGAACTATTGAAATTGATCCTTAGAAAATCATGTTGAATCCCCTAGATTATTCTCAGTTAGCAAAATCTGTCGCTGCTAAGACACCGAGGTCCTTTTATCAAACAAACCATTACGACTAACGATCGCTGGAGCCTGGCAACATGACGATATTTAAATGAAATCGGTCTTCCCCAGTGCCCATCATATTTTTTTTTCCGGATTTTTATTGTTCAGTAGCGGACTGTAATTAATCACGTGGTTTTTGTGGAAGGACATGTTGAAAGAAAAACACTTAACTTCTGTACTGCACTTATATATTTACGCTGATACTCTAACAATAAAAATTGAACTGCTCGCGACGAACGCTAGTGAGCTTCATCTTGAACGATTGAATAGTTCGGTTTTGCTCGGTAGCGCCAATCTTCTCCTCTCCTTCGGTGCTTTTCAATGTGTTGCCGAATCGATCAAGGTAGGCTTGTCACATAAAAAGCTCAAATCAAAAATATTCTTCGAGCTGTCATGACACAGCCCGAATATTTATAAACAGCAAAATTTGATAAAGCGCGGTCTATTTCTTTAATAGATGTCGCTGGGAAAGAAGTTAAGTTCTTTTTTTAAAGACAGGAAACTGGAAATACCTCAATTGAAAAATAAAACAGAATGTGGAAAATGGTTTACACTCAAACAGCCTATTATTTTGTCAAATTATAGTCCATTATTCAGACAAATTCACGCAAGACAATTTTTAAGAAATTGAGGCTAGGCTAGTTTTTCATATTATTAAACTTTTCGAAATTTCAGTTTAAAAAAATTCTCAAATAAAAAATATTAAGACCTAAGATAGCAAAAAAAGCATGACCCTTGCACTAACAGTAAACTTGAGGAAACTTTTGAAAAAATGTCTAGAGAATTTTGATCAGAATGTCAAATGAGCTTTGGGGAGAGTTTTTAAATAAATTCAGAGGAAAATCCCAAATAAATGTGAAAATAAGTTTCAGATAATTTTGAGAAGCATTTTAGGAAAACAGTAGGGAAAACTATCAGGGAATCCCAAGGTTGTTCAAAACAGATTGTTTTTAAAGATTATTTGCAGAATTTCAGAGAATTC